CCGACATCGTCTCGGTCCGAGACGGTCCAGCCGATGCTCCAATCACAAGCAGCTTGTCTCCAAGCGACTTAAACGCAACACCCCATCCTCCATTAGACTTAGCCCTAACAGGAACATCCCCAAGCTTCTTCCAAGCGTTTGCGTTTGCATCATAAACACGGAGCTCGTTCGCCGATGTTTCCAACGAGTAAAGATCTTCATTCACCACGGCGATGAGCGGTGGAGACTGGACGGAAGAGAAATACATGTCTTTGAGAATGTCCGGTATTAGCTCCCAAGTGTCTGTTCCCTCGTCGTAACGTTCACCGCAAGTTAGGTTTTTATCGTTCTCATCACGGCCACCAAGGACGTAAAACTTGCCGCGCAAGTAACATCCTGAGCAGAACTTCCGCCGCTTATGCATACCATGGAGCATCGTCCAGGTTTTGGTCTCAGAGTCGTACTTCTCGACTCTGTTCACGACTTCCACAGACCGGTCTCCGTCGATTTTCAACCCGCCGGCTACAAACACCACGGTGCCACAGGTAGCGGAAGCGAACAAGATCCGCGGCGTGATCATTGCAGGACCCTTGAACCACTTGTTCGTCTCTAGCTCGTACCGCCACAAAGCAATGCTCTTCTCTTCTTTTCCGATGACAATCAAATGTGTTCCAGCGCAGAGAGATTCTTTATCTCCTCTGAAGAAGCAAATGTCGGAAGGAAGTTCCGGAAGCCTCTGGAAATTCTCAAACCCCTTGTCGAACATGGTCCACCCCGTGTCGCCGCTCGACAGCATAAAGACAGATGGTTCGACCACACCGCGCTCACGTCTCACCTTGAAAATCTCACCACCTTTGAGCAAACACGAGAACCGCTTGTTGAGAAACTGGAGTTTCCAGTACTCGAAACGCGGGACTCGTGCGAGTATCTCGACCTCAAGCTCGTAAACAAGCTGAGGAACGTTTCGTGAATAATCTGCATCCTGAGGTTTCAATCCTACCACATCTCCTGTTTCTTCCCCATCCCAATCCAAACAAGGATCTGCGTTAAGATCCGGAATCCGAAGCTTCCTCGGCCTAGACCTGCTCGAGCTTGCCCGGATTCTTCCGGAGTGATCTTCTCCAAGCGTCAACATTTCTTCTTAATAAGTTCTCGGCCTAATACGTTTTTGACATTCCCTCTCTGTAAAATGTTCAACCAAAAACCAAATCCGAATCACTCAGTGACAATCCATTTATCTAACTGCGGAACCTAAATAAGACATTCAGACAGACAAAGTTTCAACTTTGGTGTATGGAAATAACAAAGATTCAGAACAATTTAGATGAAACAGCAAAAAAAATAAGATTCAATCTTAGACTACTCAGATTGAAGAAATTTAATTTATGAGTAGTTGATTCGAGACTATAAAGTATAAACCCGCTAATAGAATATCCGAATCGAATCCAACACAAGAAGTGAAATTAAATCAATTATAAGCAATTAAGCAGTTTTAATTAAATCAAAACAGGGAACGGTCAACAAGTGAAAGCACATACAGATGTTAGCTAAATTTACTAAAGAACAATTACAAATTACAATTATTGATACAAACCCCATATACAAGAGTGGTTGTATACGTGTATGTACATCCCTATGATAATATACCTGAAGAAAATTTGGTCAAAAGTCAAAGAGGATAATCAAAGAGACTTACAGGGGAAGACAAACCCTCGAAAACCTGATTTTATAAAGCTTTCTTCTCTCTTCTCTTTTGTTCTTCTTCTTGTTCTTCTTCTTCATCTGTAAATAAGAAACTAAAATCGAAAAAATACAAAAAGAGATGACGAGGGATTAAATAAAAAAATACCAAAAAGAGAAATTTAGAAATTAAAAAAGTATAATAATCAGAACCTTTTGCGAAGAGAAAGGTAATCCACCCTCAGTTGCAGGGGAAATTCAAGCTCAGTTTAGAGAATTCGCCAGAAGAAAAGACTTTCTTTTTTTATATATAAGTATATTGGAACAATAAAGGCAGTAATTAATTGTTTTCTTTATCTTCACTGAGCGAGCAAACGACAAAACCATATTCGATTCATCTTCAGGAATTCGCCGGTAAAAACTCGAAAAGCCCAAAAAGCTATATTTATGATTATAAAATGAAATTATGTATCGTTATGTGTGTGTGTGTCTGACTGTGCAAGAGAGTGAGAATATGCGTAGAAAAAAAGGGAAGAAAATGAATTTTCAAATCGAAGAAGAAGAAAAGACAAAAAAAAAAATATAAAGTTGTTCTTGACATTAAAGATTTTTAAACTAGAAAATGGCAACAAAAAAGGCCTTAATGCATGAAAACATTTTAAATTAGTCAGCATATAGATTGGAATATTCTCACTGGCCTCCGTTGGATTTTTTTTTTTCTTTACGTTTGCATTTAGCTAATTATTTATAGTAGAAAACTATAGATTGGAATATTTTTACTAACCATCTCTAATCTATTTTGCTATTTTTTCTTTTAAAATGGAGAAACTCTAAAATAGAGGTAGAATTTTCTCCAATCCACCTCTATTTTAGAGGAATACTTCTATTTTAGAAGAAAATATAGAAAAACTTATTTTTTCCTTTATATTTAGAGAAAAAAAATAACATCTCTATTTTTTCCTCTGAAATAAATGTGAATTAGAGAATAAAAATGACATTTCTATTTTTTTATCTAAAAATAGAAGAAAAAATAGCAATAGATTGAAGATGCTCTAATACCGTACCACCAAATTCACTGTTGTATTATATCTTTTAGGCTCAAACAATGTTATAGCGTGTCACGTGTACAAAAAAAGAAGTTATTACATTTTTCGTCTTTAACTCTTAAACATTAAAAAAACCTAACCTAATCCAATAGATTAACCCATGTGTCACGTCTTATGTGTTGGCTCTCCACTATTTAAGTGGAGATAGAGTGTTTCTTAATCCTTTTTAAGCTTCTGGTACTAATTTATACACAATGATATCGAAAAAACAATAAATTAACTTTCTATCTTTTCCTATGTTTTTATATTGGTTCAATGACTTCAATCAGACCGAAACAGAGATTTTAAACTATTAAAAAAAAAGTTGATTTGTATAAATTAATCGATTATCAAAAAGAATACTCCCTCTGTTTCATTTAGAGAAAATATATCTGCATTGTACAATGTAAATGGATGTGTTTTGAATTTAATACATTCATATACATTACAGATACATTTTCCCAAAATGACACTTATTATAAAACGGAGGGAGTAATAATTTGTATTTAAATTAATTCATAGTAAAAAAAAAATATACGAAATATCCCCGTATATTTTGGAAAAGTAGAATGTAATTCCATTATTATTTTTGGAAAAGTAGATTAATGTAAGTGATTTGAAAAATGCTCCAAAGCAAGAAATTTGTGTTTCCATGGCGTCAAATCTTGTGCTGAACTTATAACATAATAGCGTCTTCGTTAGATGGAAGTAGCTCGGTCTCGGCCATTAGAAGCCTATAATCTTTGTTCAGTTATTTTATTTCTAAGAAAACCTGTAATCTTTTAGATTTGACGATATAGAATTGTGGTCCTATATATATCCCAAATCGTGAACGATAATCAAGAGACGTATGTACTATGGAATATTTTATATAAACATGATTTTCTGAATCATTATACATACAAAATTTAATATGAAATTTTGGATGATGACAATAAGAAGTCGCCATCATCATATAACTAATTCTGAAAGTTAGTCCACTAGAGAAATAAAATGTAAAAAAAAGTATAGTATCACCCAACCCAAATGTCATAAGTCGTACTCGGTGCAGGTGCGGCAACAAATTGTGTTAATTCTAATTACATTTGATGTTGGTAAACACTTAATTGATTTTAATGATATAATATTAGTCGGCAATCGGAACTCTGTCAAATATTTTAGGTTCAAGCATGTGTATTAAGAGAAAAAGAGCTACTCGAAGAAAGTAACAAATCACTGAATCTTAATTAACATTAACAGTAAATCACAAGCATCGTTTTTGATATTCCCCCCCCCCCCCCCCCCCCCCCCCCCCCTTATTCAAAATAACGTTATATTAAATGAGTAATTTTGTTTGTTTTTAAGGAAGAATTAGACGCTAAACTAGACGATTTGGACCGACTAAAACTAATATCGAATTTGGAACACATGGATCCATGGACCGCAGAAACGAGTGCTAGAATTGTTTTGGACACTACAAACAAAGCTAAAGAATTATAAAACTTTTTTTTTTATTTTGGTTAAAGCTAAAGAATTATAAAACGATTAAAAAAATGAACAGAGTTCAATTTGGACACTCAAAAGATGGGGGTTTCATTTTATGGTCATTTTTCCAATATCATATCTAAAAGTATGTTGATTTACGAATTTCCACATTTATATCATAGATTAGCTAAGAAAAGATATACATAATTTTATGTAAGATTCATGGGAGATCGACAACTGCCCAATTGGCCAATCTTAATACTCCGTTAGTTGCATCAAATCTTATAATTTTTTTATCATGTACATGTGTATTATACTAATTAAGTAACCAAAGTACCTTTATTTCATCTTAATATAATGTATTTTGAAAAGAATGCAATTCCTTTTTGATTTAATAAAGAGGAAGTTCACGTAGACAGTCACCACCATTATCGCTTCCCATGGGAACTATTTTATATAAGATATCGCAGACACTGAAATTTTAAAAATGTCTTCTTAACCCTATAAAAATTAAAAAGTCTCATAAAAACAACTAAACAAGTATTTAACTTGAGAAAACGTACCGGAGAGAGAGTCCAATAAATGGGCTTTAAAAAAACCAATCTAGCCCAAATCCTAAGCAGCTCATTTAAAACACCCGGGTTTTGAATCTCCAAACCCGTATGCGAAACCGGGTTTCAAATCCCCGAACCCGTATTTGATCCACTGACCTAGAAATTGGGGGGAATTGATTTGATTCTTATCCACAATTCAATCTCTTCAAGGACTCTCTTCTTCATCGTAGAGGCGTTAATGGCGGCTTCGTTCTCACTCACGAGCTTCATCTCCTTCATCTCTCCATTCAAATCTCAGACGAAAGCTACTCCGCCTCCCAATCTCACTCTCCCTTCTCCGACGGTTTCTCACAGGCGGAGGAATGATCTCGCAATCGAATCAATGGCGGTCGAGGAGCCTTCTTCTACAGCCTCACTTTCCTCTGAGCTCGCCTCTGTGATATGCCCTTCGCTTGCTTACTCGAATACGCTCTTCTTCAGCTCGGGCTACAACGTGCAGGTGTTTGTCGAAGATAACGAGTCTGAGGAAAGGCTGGTGAATCGGTTTAGGAGGGAAGTGATGAGAACAGGAGTTATCCAGGAATGCAAGCGAAGGAGGTACTTCGAGAACAAACAGGACGAGAAGAAGCGGAGGACTCGCGATGCAGCCAAGCGTAATAAGAAAAGGTTTCGCTTTTATCCCTTTTAAGCTTCTAGTTGCATATGATCTTTTTGTTCTATGAGAATTGGTTTGTTTAGATTTTATTTTCCAGTGAGTCACTCCATATGCTGAAACAGATTTGAGCATTCATGATTAACTTCCATTGCTAGTTTCAAATAGCCTGTGAAGATTAGGTTTTGAAATTCCTCACTGTCTCTTAGCTTTCAAGGATTGAAATGGCAGAGATGGTTTCAAATGTGCATGTGATTCATATTACTTTGGTGGGGTTTTTGTGTGTGTGTGTGTGTGTGTGTGCAGGCGTCCTCAAGCTAGGTTTACTCAAGAAACCAGAGAAGAAGCAGCAGCAGCAGCAGCAACCAAGAGTAAGAAAAAGGATGAAGAAGAAGACAACTGGGAGATGCCTGGTGGAGATGTACCTTCTTGAGCACGGGTTCAGTAAATAAATCTCCTGTCTTTTTCGGTTTCTATCATCATATATAACTCAGTACTTTGTATGTTGAAATGCACTTACTGCATATAACTTGCTTCTGGCAATGAGTCTTCTAAACGTTTATTTAATGACTTAAGTTCCATTGCGTTTGTTCGGGATTGATTCTACATAATGGTGATGAATCATGGATGCAATTGTTTTTATCTGGTTCAGTGATATTTCTCAGCTTCACCATCAGATGATACACTTCAGGTCTAGGTTACTTTCAGTTTTTGAACTCATTAGATTAGAGATTTCTGCGTTTTGATACTGTTGCAGATAGATTGGTTTCTTTATGCAAGGTACAATGATTTGTTTTCTATGTTCATGATCTTAAGTAGCTCTCACGCACATGGCACCTAAATTGTTCATCTGCATAATGATTCCAGAGATTCAAAATCATCTCACAGGCTGAATATAGGTGAATTCCATGGGCTATATACAGCTTATAGTGAAGTCCATTACTATCTGTCTTCCCTCTTATTTTCTCAATGGGCTCTTAGTATAGCCCATGTGTTAGGGTAAACTACTAAACTTCATGTGAATGATCTTGATTATACAGGGATAAATTGCAAATCAAACCTTATATTTTGTTGTTTCTCAGGTACCGACCTATTTTTTCTTTCAACTAGTAACAACATTTAAGCATATATTACAAATTGTTTTAAGACGAAAATCATACCATTTCACTATTCAGTACTAGAAATGTTTCTTTCAATGGGACATAAGGTAAGTACTTGAAGCACTAAATGATCTATTCACTCGTTAACAATCACAAAGGAACGTGTAATACACATATCACACACACGAAACATAAAATCTCGAGAGGTTAAGCTTAAGATACAATAGATTAATCAATAATCATGCATGATTGAATTTTATAAAAGATTATAAGATTCTCCATGTTTTTAACTTTAATTTTACCGACAAATCAAATGAAGGGACTTAAAGTAATGAATACGTATTCTACAACTTAATATTAAATCTGTTATATAAAATTTCAACTTGTACAGAAAGTAAGTGACTGATAGGAATCTATAGCCAGTGGGTGGAATTAACCAATCACTTATAATTAAACGGAAATATTAAAATCAGCGCATAATGATGTTTCACTAATTAATCTTTTGATTTGGTACGAAGCAACCAATTAGATAAGAGTTCACGCGTCAGCAATCTTTAAAATTCATTCCGTCATTATGAACATGTTTAATGGCAAACAAACGCAAATGCATATCTGTTTTTGGATACATTTCAAACTTGCTTTTCAAATTGATATATTTCCAACAACTGGAACATATTATTATTATTATTATTATAGATCTATATTTTGGTATCATTTATATATAAACTTTGATTTTTAAGTTGGAATCCCTTGTAAGTTAAATATTAATCGCAAATTAAAAACAATCGTATTTAAGCGCATCACGCAAAATTTTAAACTCATGCAAACATAAAACGTTAAAGCAGTTGTTCGTTCTAAGAAAGCTAGGGTGATTGATACCAACAGAGCAAAAAACTTATTCTAATTATAGCTAACGTTTTTTTAATAGATTGACTTCATGGAAAGTAACACCAATTGGTATTATATATTTCAAAGCATTTGTAAAATGTTTTGATGTTGGACCTTTTTGTTTCATTATTATCAATCAGGATACCGTGTGAAATTTGAAGTGAAGGGTTGCGAAATCTTTTTAATACAACTAGATTAACAAGTTGTCAACTCTTTTCATCGAATTATTGAATGTTTTTTTTTTTATGTCTGTTATGAATTATAGTTAGTGGTCCTGCTCTTAATAATATATAGGTTGTATACAAATTTATTGTTTTTGTGTTTACATGCATGCTTGAACACCTTTCGATAAAATCAGATTATCTCCATAAAAAGAAGAAGAAAAAAGTCTATATAACAACGATAAGAATTGAAAAGAGATATCCAACGTTAAGTAATTTGATATATATATATTCATAAATTCATTTACACTACTTCAAATCTATAGATAATTTAGACCCAAAAGAAAAATTATAGATAACACATTAAATCATTAGAAATGTTACTAGTATAGGAATAAAGGGTTGGTATGCTTAAAAAAAATAGAATAATGCGATGAATGGTATTAACTATTAAGAAAACACTGGTAGGACAAACAAACATAGAAAATACTCAAAATAGTGAATGGAGAAAGAGAAATAGACCAAGCAACATGAAGATCTGACTGAATGCTTTTTATATTATTATTTTGCCACTTCTCCAGTTCATATTTGCACATTTTGTTGTGTGTTATTACAAAGAATCAATGTCAAATGCTAAACTTTGAGATCTCCAAAATGGCAATATCAAATAATGAATGACCCAAACTTGATGAGTCACGCGATATCTGCTGTTCATAATCAATATGTTTATTCTTTTGCGTCAATATTTCATAAGATATTGAGTTTATTTTTGAATTTTTGTGGAGAAAACACAAAACGTGAAAGTTGTCTAGTTAGTCGTCCATAAGCGCAGAGTCGACGTCGTCTTCAATTATATCGTATAACTCTCCCCCACACAATAGTCTTTAACTCTTATCCAAATTATTTGCTTATATACACACATTACACAAAATTTTCTATAATTATTTTGTAAGATAAGAACTAAATATAATAAGTCCATAATACTCGAATTTATTCAGAAATTCTTCTTGAAAGCGAGCTATATCTTTATATATGCCCATTTTCTTCACTATTGAGAGGTGGCCCTCCCAATAATAACACGAAACACAATGTCTGTTTTTTCCATCACCCAAAATACAACAATGACATTTAAGAATCTGTTTTTAAAGATAATTCATTGAAATTTAAATTCCATCTCAATAAATAAATGTCTCAAGTGTTGCGGGAATCAGACCTCTTTTTTTTTTCAACTTTTAAAACATTCTACAAACAATATTGGTATAAAACTGGCGACCCAAAAAAATGTTAAAATTCATTACCACAATCATAGTTGATAGATGGTTGCTACTTGCTACCGTTAGATAATGGAGTAAAATGGTATGAATGCATAAGAAGAGAAACAGTGAAACAGGCTAATACTTGAACCACGAGAGGACACGTGTCGGATACAGGAGACAGCCAATTGGAGCAAATGAGTTTTTCGATAAGACAAGTATTCTTAGTGGGCCCAGAAAGACAAGATCGCCGTTCGACACTCTTGTTGCGATAAATCACATGTACGTGTTGGCATCTTGCGCGGGATCCATCTTATGGTCTAGTTTGCGTTTTCTTATTTACCGTATTATTAGTTTTGTTTTGTTTTGTTGTTTCGGTATCATGTTTTAATGAATGACATATGATACCATATTGTATTTATGTTTATAAATATAAACAGAAAACATTGTAGTTAATTGTTATACATAATTACAAATAGTAAGTTGTCTTCCTTTTTTCAAAAGTATTTATATATAAAATATTTTTTTGGTGGGGGGGGGGGGGGATCAATAACTCGTTTTGTATAAAAGTCATGTGAAGGAGGGAAACAAAACTGATTAGCGGCAAAAGTAATAGAACAAGTAACAAAAAAAAAGTGTCTGTTTGATCATCTCAAGAGGTGAAGGTTTTCTGACGGTTGGATCTTGAGAAGATTTGACGCATTGAAACTGTTACACGTGTCTATATGATTGGTTTAAAAGCAGTGCTGATCTGTCAGATGACTTGGCTGAGTTGGAGAGGTTGCCAAATAGTCTTTAACCCACTTGCTACATTTGTCAGTCTCTAATCAAAACAAATGCGATTGGACGAGAGATAGTACAAATAGTATGTTGTCTTTTTATTAGCAATGTATAATTAAATTGACGAAACCCGATTATAAATCACATATATTTTCCAAGTTTACTTTTTCTTTGGTTATATTATACTTTTCATGAGAAATCCAAGACACTATAAAGTTAGTTTAGCTGGAGATGGGTTTTGCCAGACTTCTACAAATTTTTGGACGCAAAATTGAATTCCCTAAAGATTTTGAGTGATTTGTGTACATTTCTAATTTTGCCAGTCTCTATAACTTTTTTTTTTTTTATCTAAGGTAATGTAAAAAATATAAAAGGTGATTTGGGAGAATGCACTTTATTTTGGATGAAAATTAAAATAACGACTTTGTAATCCTGCTATCCCGTGACATTTAAACGAAGTTCGTTTATTTATCTTGGTGTGAGAGAAACTAAAAAGATTTTTTTTTAATGGTAAATGGTAAAATTATAGAAGAAGAATATATGAAACACATGATTTATTTATCTCGAATTTTCTCATTATTTTTTATTAGCTAGTTAAAATGTACGTAGGAAATATCATATCAAATGGATTATATTACTTTCGGCTAAACGAATATATAAACAAGGCCTTAAGTTGAGAAGTCATATCCCCTACGTTCTTGGTAATGAATAACATCTACAAATTCACAGTTTGCTTGCCTTTTCTTTATAGCTTTTATTGTACACATGATATTTAATTGGCCAATCATTGTCACATCTTGTAGTGTAGCATATGTATGGATTACATTATTCTATTTTGCTGCCCTCTCACAAAC